CAATTTAAACGAAAAGGTTTATAAAAAATTTAATTTGCGAAAAGATAAAAAAGAAAATAATAATATACTTCGCGATAAATACGTTTCGATTACCGATAAAAAGATAAAGAAAGTCACTCGGCAATTAATACGTTAGCACGCATAAATAAGCATTTATTTTATTTAAATATTTATATTTTGCTAATAATATAAAGTCACGTTATATAATAACCGTTTAGCAATTTCGTCGCTACTAGCAAAATATAACGCAGTCTTTAATAAAGAAGTGCCGAGCTATTAATTTAAAGAGTGGAAAAGCTTTTTTTAAATTGATAGCTTAAGATTTAATAAGCACGATTTTAAAACAAATTAAGTAAGAATTCATTTTATTATGCTTTTAATTAATTGAATTAATATTATAACTTTTAATTTTTATTTAATTAAGCTTCTTTACGTCTACTTTTCTTTTGATAAAAAGAAATATTAGCGAGCTAAAATTAAAGCAAATACCGATAAGATTAAATACGAATTGCCGGGTTTAGCCGCTTAATAGAATATAAAAGGATTCGAAAAGAATGCTAAATTTAAAGAAGCTAATTGCGATCTTATTTTATTTCAACGCGTTATGCAATTAATTTAGAAAAAGGACGAGCTAGCTTCGGAGTTGTTTTACGGCGTTAAAGATAGCGATACGGAATTGAAATTATTTTTAAACTTAATGCTTAAGTTTATATAAAATAGAATTCACGATTAATTATAAATTTTATATTTTATAAAAATACTTTTATTTATCTTATTTATTAATTATATTTATTAATAATACTTATTAATTATATTTACTTATTATATTTATTAATTATATTTATTAATTATATTTACTAATTATATTTACTAATTATATTTATTAATTATATTTATTAATTATATTTACTAATTATATTTATTAATTATATTTATTAATTACATTTATTAATCGTCGGTTTCTTGTGTAACGATACGCTAAGTCTTTTAGACGCACTTTATATGCGCTAAGCTACTTCTTTTATTTTTTCTTTCGTATTCTTCGTATTCTTTTATTTTTCGCTTTTAACTTATGAACTATAGTTTACGAGTTCTTAGCGCTTTTACCTTCGTGTATATAGACCTTAGCTACCTTCGACTTCTATACTCGGTAATTGTTAATTTTAAATTATTATTTTAAGATTCTTTTAAGCTTTTATATAAATCCTCGCGCTTTCGTAAGTTCTTTTAAGTAATCGCTTAAGGTCGTCATATCTTAAAGTTTTAAATCAAAAGAATTGACCGACTTGCTATATTTAAAATCGATATAAATATATTAATAAATTATTTTAATATTT